TGGATAGACAGAGGAGTTTGTGTCACCAATGGTTGCTCTTTTTATTTCGATTGTGGTTAACTCATGAGTTGTAAAGTATCTTTAAACCACGTTAGTTCCAATTTTTTTTAGGTTTTACTAAGATTTCTAGTCCAGGAGAAAACTGCGTACCTGGGTCCCACTGCACAGGAGGTTCTCGATGTGTAAATGGACTTTGTCTTTGTGATGAAACTCACTATCCATCAGATGGGTACTGTCGCCCAGTCGGTAGACTCTTTACTTATTTTGTACTACAGTGAATACAACTAATTTAACAATCAACTGTTACCTATAAAAATTTAGACTTTTTACATTTATTGCTTGGTTTATAACACGTTTATTTTTCAAGGTGCCAAAAATCACGAAATTAAATTAATGGATGGCGGTTCTCTAAGATTTTCATCAAAACACGGTATCGAGCGTCGTGCAGCTTCTCGATGCCCGGTTCCAGGCGAGGCAATTACATGTGAATTACCTAATTGCTTCTGCACACAGACAGGTAAATGGTAAAGTAATTCCACGTCAGTATTTGGTGAGATGAAGTCAGCAGAAATTGATTTTATAGTTTCTACTCATTATTTTTTCAATCAAAACTTTTGTCATCTTAAAAAACATTAAAATTACGTGGTTTTATATGTTTGCTGAAAATTTAGGTAGGGAACCACCAGGCGGCTTATCACGGCAAGAAACTCCTCAATTTGTTGTTCTAACATTTGATGACGCTATTAATGGAAAGACTTTACCAGATTACCAAAACTTATTCCAAAATAACTTATACGTTAATCCAAATGGGTGTCCAATCAAAGGAACCTTTTTCGTTTCACATGAATGGACCAACTATAACGGCGTACAGTGGCTTTATGAACAAGGGCATGAACTTGCATCAAACTCAATAACGTTTGTCGTTCATCTCCTTTGAATGCAATAAGTGTCTCAGATTTTCTTTTGCACCTGACAAAGCACGCGCTGATACTGACATCAGGCTTTAAAATAATAAAGGGGAATCTACATTTTAGTCACGTATCTCTTCAAGGAAAGTCATTGATTCGGTGGTTGAATGAAATGGACGGCGAAAGGCGAGTGATGGCAAAGTTTGGTAATGCTAACGAAGAAGAAATAGTAGGAATTAGAGCTCCTGAACTTGCTCCTGGTGGAAATCAACAGTTTGAGGTAAACCCAGCAAGTATTAGAAAGTGCATTTACATATACTTCAATTCTATTCCAAGACTTCCACGGAAAACAAAACACTAATGAGACGCTTGTAAAGGCTTATCCGCTCCAGGAGCGAGTCACCCTATCAAATTTACAACGTTCTCAAAAATAAAAACTTTATAATTGTAGCACATCAGGAACTAACTACTCAAAATAACTCGTCCCGATCTTTAGCTACGAACTTAACTGAGCCCTCCTAACATTAAGCTACATCAGTTATCGGATTAATAAATAAGTACAAAACCTAATCAATCGTCGTTGAATTCAGATGATGACACGGGCGGGATTCTTGTACGACAACAGCCTACCAGCAAACCCTGGAATTAACGGAGAACCATACTGGCCGCAAACACTGGACTACAATTTAGCCTGGCCTTGCACAGACAAATATTGCCCCAGAAGGTAAGACAAATAAAACGATATTGATCACACCGGCGAAAAGTGCATTTAAGTCAGAATAAAAGTCTTTCCCACTTATAAAATCGATAAAACAAACCTCTACTCACCCACAAGAAACGCGGAACAATGAAAGTTTTAACGGTTTTTCTCGTGAAAAAGGCGATACATACCTGTTGGCCACGCCACGCTGACAATAAACTTGTGAGGAAATTAGTATAAGAAGGATCACCAGCTGAATGGTCTAGTGGTATGATTCTCGCATTGGGTGCGAGAGGTCCCGGTTTCGATCACGGGTTTACCCCACTATATTACTGCTTTTTCGGGTGAAAAAGGCAGTACATAAATGTTGGCCAGACTATGCCGACAATAAGCTTGTAAGCAAATTAGGACAATCAGGACCACCACCTGAATGGTCTAGCTGTATGATACTCGCTTTGGGTCCGAGAGGTCCCGGATTCGATCACCGGTTCACCTCATTCTTTTACAGTTTTGCCG